GTTCTCATGCACGACGAATGTTTATAAAGTTTATTCTGACTTTCAGAATATGAATTTCACAATATAAATTATTAGTGTAAATAAGGTACTCGTTATCCTTATATAAATCCGCAATAAGTTAAATGATGAGTAAAATAACATTTTACATCTATATCATTTTTAGATCTTGCATATTCCAAATGTTTAAATTTTATACATTACGTACTGTTAACGTGATTACGGTCAACATATGACGTTGTGGAGATAAATAACGCCATAAACGCAACATTTTGGCATTATAACAGCAAACTTTGAAATTATTTAGCAAAAAATCTAGCGAGAAGACATATAAATTTTTTTATATCAATAATTTTGATTTCACCTCATCTTGATTTTTTGAAATTCCTGACTAATTCGTCTACGTTTTTTAAAAGTTATCAAACCTTTTTAAAAGAAACTCTTTCCGCAAAATTGGCTTAAAAACGTCATTTTCCCATATATTTCAATAGTAAAGCGTAAAAAAAGTACTTAAAACTATGCCGCGTTTACAGATATATATCATTAAAACTACGTAGGCAAATTCAATAAAAATTGGAGATAATACGCTTTAAAGTCTAAGGAACATTATATCAAATTTTCAGGATATGTTTTCTCGTGAGAAATTTTATGCAGTAAACCCGCGACCTACCCTAGTATTACAACAAATAAGCGAATTCTTAAGAAAAATAACGGTTCTAAGAATTAAGTCTTTTAGATCCAATTATACATACTTGGGGCGTAGTTGATTGGAGTAATAACATACTTAATTAAATCTTCTCAGAAGAAAATTAAAGATTGTCTCAATAGAAATTTCTTCAACCTCCATTTCTTACGTTTACACAAAGCACTCACACACATTTGATTATGTTATTGCATGTATAAGGCATTGTAAATCGATTATATAACTATATATATTGATATCCTCGCCTTAAAAGCGGGAGGGTATATAGTAATTGGGATGTCCGTCCGTCTGTTACGCGTTGGGATGCCATTGTGTCTTATTTTACTTTTTGGTCCGACTCATATTTTGGGTTTACCATAGAAAAACATAGACACTGCCATTATATTCATATGGGAGGTGGGAGATCCATTAAAATCATCTCTTTAGAAGAAAAAAAATCGCAAAAATATATTTTTTGAAAAAAAAATCCGTCTTAAAAACACAGTCATCCTCTTTCTAGTTATTTTCTACATATAATTAACTTAAAGAAAAAATAAATCTTAAAACCAGGTAGGTTCGAAGAGTCTAGTATTTGTATCTACTCCTCGTCCACAATCGTAGATTTCGAAAGGATCGGAGAGAGGGTTCAGAACCTCCCGAATTTGCAGATTTATTAACATTTAATATGTAAATATTTCAGTTAGGGGCGAAGGTAATTATTCCTCTGGGTAAATGTGTATCTGAGACAAGTGAAGTCCCTGAGAATCAAAGACGAAACCCGCTGATAGGGGTTTCATAGACAATAACAAATATTTAAATTGGGGAAATATTATTACTTTTATCATATTGATGTAAGACGGTCATAATTACACAGTTGAGTTCAAGAAATGATTTATTCCTTAGTTTTTTTTCTCAGACAAACATTGATGCAGAAGACATCTTTATTTTTCATGATTTCGTCTAAAAAAGTAAATTTTACATACTATAAGAAAATCTGAGTGAATATAAAGCTCATGTAAGAGAACAATATACAGTTTTTTATTTCCTGCATAACTTAAATTCTAATGAAAAACAAAATGAAGACTTAAGCATGTTAAGTGTAACTTAATTTCTAAAAGAGAGGCCACGCAAGCAGAGACTTTCTGTAAGAATATCTTTGTAGCCATCTCTCTCTCTCTCTCTCTCTCTCTCTCTCTCTCTCTCTCTCTCTCTCTCTCTCTCTCTCTCTCTCTGCATACTTGTAAAACGGTGCTGTAAATTTAAGCTCTAGATAGTAAAGAATTTTTGTCTATAACTGACTCTACAAGAGTCTAGTATTTCGAAATTATTTCATGAACCTTTGCGCCATTTTAATAGTCAAAAAAAATTATGATGAATCATTTGACAAAAATTTAATAGACTTAGAAAGGATTGTCTTACATGTACATCATGAAATGATTATCAAAGGCGCGAAGTCATTAACCCGTATCAATTTCGTGAAGAGCGGATATACATGTACGATCTTTTTTTAACTTTCAATTTATAAGAATTGTCATTGAAATATTGTAAAAACCTTAAATCGATTTCTTATAAGGTACATGTGTCCTACATGACCCTATAAATCAATGCATGTTTCAATCAGTGCAAGTATTTATTATTCTATAATTTGTGTTATTGCGTGGACCCTGCGGTCCACGCAGTAAATATATAAGCGAAGCTAAGTTAAACCGGATGCCCTGGGCAAACGACAGGCTACGCATGCGCGCGAATGCTAGAGAGTTCGCACCTTAGGTAACTTGCCCGTAGAATAATTCGCCCTATTCGAATTAAAATATGCCATTCATTGGCAAATCGCGCTTTTAAATCTGCACATCGCATTAACATATTCATTGGCAGATTCGATTTCCTCTCTTTTACATATACTTTTACACTAAACATTGATTCTATGGTACAAACATTTTAGAAATTACAGTATATATTACATGTAACTTAACAACTTGAATGAGAAATGTCACTCAACGAACAGAGATACATGTAGCTTCTAAAGCTTTTAAAGTAGAGCAAGTTTTCACCGGCATTAGTTTTGTGCATCAAGATTCGCAAAATCATTTAATATTTCAGCAATCTAATTATTGTTTGATAAAGGTCTGTAGCAAGGGCTTTTAATGTGTGTGTGTTTGGGGGTTGGGTGGGGGTGGGGTTGAGGGCTCCGACAAAATAAAACACAAATCTGCGTTGTACAGAGGTGTGCTACACGTGAACCATCAGATCTCCATTTTTCCCATGATAAATTTTTTTCCGTATAAATCCAGAACAGGTGTCAAGTCCCAGCCAATATGTGTTACACGTGTCAAAATAACCCGATTTTCAAAACATGTTAAAACTGACAAAACTAAAGATCGTTAATCGGAGATAAAATTTCACATTTGTGCTTTGAGACTACGATCAGTTATAAGTGGCAGACAATTTTAGAATAAGTGAACAAACCTTACATGCATATTCCCTACACCTAGAAATTTTCTTAATTATATTTCAGTTAGAAAAACCATGCATATAGTCCACGTATTGCAGGCCTTTTTTAAAGGACAGCAACTTGTTCTATTTTTTTACGGGCTAAAATTATATACATGTTTGTATGCAGTGCACAATGTTTATATTTTTTGCGCCTGCGCAATGCAACGTTGTCAAGGACTTAGTCCTGCGACTAAGCGTATCGTTTACGACTAGACTTACGTGACTTGGTGAAACGCAAATTACGCCCGACTAAATTTTGGTGTAAGTCCCGGAAGTACACCTAAGTTAAGGTTTAAATCTACGACCTTTGATAAAACGGGCTCCTGACTTCTACAGTTGACGGTTTACTTGGACATTTAAACTTGTATCATGTACGGAAGTACAGAATTGATATTGCATAAGAAAACCTTTCTAGTGGTCATAGGTACGGTGTTAGGGGCATTAACATGTGAAGACCGGGAGTTGAGGGTAGGGAAGATATCGTTTTCTTCAAGGACAACTTATTTGTTTATTGAAATAACCCGTTTTTGTAGTTTAATTAAATGTTGAGCTAAACATTTATATCATAAAAGAGCTACCATACATAGCTCTAGTGTAAAAGTAATCGTCAACTGTAAAAGTCATCTATCCTTGTAAAAGTCCATTAGACGACAACACCCAACTAACAACTAAATTGTATGTCAAACAAGATTATATATGCAAATCCATCGTCAATTTTACTTATGAATTATTTAATATATAAGTTATATACCGCTATCACCTACATGTGGAGTTTAAGTATTAAGTAACCTATAACTTATTCAATACTCAAGGGCATGATATTACAGGGATTGTAGCAACCTTGTACAAAATGTCAACGTTCGTAAAATGCATGGTCCTAAATATGACTTTGCTAACAAATATAAACTATCACTGGATCGTATTTTGGCTTGCGTGTTATATTCTAATTGTAAAGCTTTTAAAGTTTGGTTACGGCATGCTCCGACTACCTGATCAATACGTAATGTGACTGGTCAACAGGGGATACTCACTCCCCTCAGGCAATTGTTCACGGCCTCATAAACATGATAAATGATATTAGTTACACATTTAGTTTGTGACTAAATGCACAGTCTTCAAGGGTATATACGAAAAATAAAAATCTATACCGGATGATTAAAAGCTGGGTCCTCAATTCGGTTCTCCATTTGTAGCGTGTAAGCTGATTATATAATAATAAATAGCAGAGGAGGCTGAATTCCCTCAGTTAACTTTCTGAGGATCTGGCAGATTCAATATATATAAATATCTAATAAAGCAATATAAACAGATGAATGGTGGTCTGTCTGTCTTCAATTAATTATTAACAATGCTTTCTCCCAAGCGATCGGAGGCCTGTTCAGCAGAGCGAGCGTTCGCGATCGCTCGCCAAATTTCCTTATACCTCCAATAGAAATTTTGGCGAGTGCTCGCGAACGCTCGCTCTGCTGAACAGGCCTCGGGTCTTGTGAATACCGGCTCAGACAGTTTCGAGCGTATGGTTACTTATGATTACTGTTTTTTTTTTAATTCAGCTATTTTGATTACCTCCTCTTAAAGCTAGGCTATTATGATTACCTACTCTTAAAGCTCGGCTATTATGATTACCTCCTCTTACAGCTTCGCTATTATGATTACCTCCTCTTAAAGCTCGGCTATTATGATTATCTCCTCTTACAGCTCAGCTAATATGATTACTAGTACCTGCACTTACAGCTCGGTTATAATGATTATCTTCTCTTATATCTCTTAATGTCATTATATGCTTCCTCATTTTAATCATTTTAGTTACTGAACTTATTTTTCCTAGGAAATGAAGCTCTTTATCACTTAACAAAAGGACAGGATAAAGACCTTGTAGTTAACCTTCAGCGTTTTAACGGTCAAAAGGCGGAGGCCAGATACACTACATTTTATATTGGGGATGAAAACAGCAAGTACCTACTCACTGTGTCCTCCTTCTCAAGCTCTGGTGGTAAGTTTATTTACAGGGCATATCTAACAGAAAAACACACATACATGATTAGTGCATGACACCTCTCTCTCTCTCTCTCTCTCTCTCTCTCTCTCTCTGATCTCTAATTTCTCTCTCACACACACACACACACACACACACACACACACACACACCTGTGTGCGTGTGTGGCTCCCCCATACTGGGGACCTGCTACAGATACGCAAGTCGTAAAATGGGGACATAAAAAACATTGGGGACTTGATTTAAGTCCCCAATCTTTTTTATCGTTGAAAACGAAAAATTGACATGTCTAAATCCTAAAAATATCAAAAAAATAATGTGTCCCAGTTACGGGGTTTTATCGGACACATGATTACACAGATATCGTGTTGATTGAAATCGCCATCTTCACTTACACATCTCTGACGTTACACACTTCTAGATTACGCATGCGCGTGTGTAAAAAAAGCGGAAGTCCAATTGTTTGAAGCGGGATTAGGATACAATAAACATGTGGAAAAGAAGACACAGAGGAAAGCCTGGGCACAGAATCCTAGATTCTTTTGATAAGGATGATTTTTATGCTGGAAAACGGTATGTTATCTACTTCTTGGATAAAATATATGGTTCGAGGAAACTTGCATCAAAGTATTGAAGGGGGAGGGGGGGGGCAGTGACGATTGCTGCATAGGCCTATCGGGTACCCAGTTGAAATGAAAAGACAGTTATTTATGCGATTTTCTTTCTTGAAATAGTACACAATTTATGATATTCATTTCACAATGATTTAAAATTCATCAAATGAAAGGTATATTAATCGAATGTGTTTTGTATTTCATGTCAACATGAAATGACCTTTACTAAGTTTTAACTGAACTAAATCCAGTCCACTTTAATTAGAGAAAATGGAAATGTAGTTTGTATGTGTGAGTTTTTTTGAGCCAATTGTGGGATCGGGTTGTACCCCCCCCCCCCTCCCCTTCTTCTTGAGATCTGCAACTTATTGTTTTTAAAGCAAAACCTAAGATTGGGTTGTACCAAACACCTCAACAACCCACCCCCTTTTTCTTGAGCTCAGCAACCTATTTCTGGTGTTGTTTTCTTTTCATTTTTTAAAGCGAAAAGTGAGATCGGATTGTACCCCCCCCCTTTTACTTGAGAGAGAACATATACAGTGTAGTTATCAATTCAACATATATATTTTACTTGTCCTATAATATATAGACATTACTTAATACAATAATAGCCTATCTCAATTTTACTCATAATGCACTTATTATCTACTGCTAAAGAGCAAATAATTGAATATTAATTAAGTGTATATTGTTTTCATGTTGTTTATATTAAAGAAACTTGGGCTGAAGCATCTTTTAATTTAAAAAGCTACCACATTAAATTACTTATATGACAGTACAATTCATTAAGTGACAATTATATTTTCCACATTTTTCTTAATTATTATCATTTTACAGCATTCTTTTAAATAAAAATCACATTTGATCTCTCTAAGGGCCTGTACAGGTTATGGGCATTGGAATAAAAATGCTCAGAAAGGAAATATGGATAAAAATATACGTCTTGAAAAAATTTTATTAGTGAATTTTTTTTTTCATATAATTATTATCCTTAAACATGTTAAAAGATATAGAATTAAACTAGAATATAAAAATCATGCAAACTTGTGTTTATTAGATTTTTTTAATCAGGTCATTATATCCTCAAGCAGGACATTATACCCCTGGCCCTGTCGTTTTTATTATGTCCAATAAAAAATTTATATATTTTATTTTGCATTTTGCCACGATTCTCATAGAAGATAACAATATTTATTATTTCCAATAAAAATGATATTGTGTATGCACCAAAATTGACAAAAAACTATTTATTATAATCAGTCAGGACATTGTACTATAAGGGCATTATACACTTCCGGTGTAAACAGCTTACTCAGGAACTGAGGAAGCAGGTAAGGCATGGTTTGGACTGAAAAAAAAACCCACGTCCTTGTTTGATTCCTTGAAACGATTGTGGAATTATGTTCTGGAGACTTGAAGTCTGTACAAAGACACACTACTTCAAAGTAGTTTCATGTCGACCGCTTTATACCTGTTAGACAGAATCATGGATAAGCCTTTCCGAATTCCCTCTGTTTAATTCTCCTTTCACTGTTAGTGTGTTTGTTTATATACAAACAGCTTTGAAATTGAATTTTTAAGAGATCATTATAATTTTATATCATATGATATGATCTTTTTTAAAGCAGGGTGCAATGTATTCAATTTTTGTATCCTTTCTATCAGAAAAGTCATAGGCTATAATAAGAATCATTTGACTTGTTTAATGTATTGTGGTAGTTTATTTATGTATTCTTAAATTATTTCATTTCAATCCAGATGTAAATTATCTTGCTTATATTTGGAAACACCCACTTTTATGCGACCATCAGATCGGGGAGGAAGACGACTGGCTTAATTCTCTATAGCTACACTCTTCACATACTAGAATCAAGTTTTTCAACTTGTCCATCTGTTTATATTGCTTTTATTAGCTCACCTGAGCCGAAGGCTCAAGTGAGCTTTTCTGATCAAAATTTGTCCGTTGTCTGTCGTCGTTGTCGTTGTCGTTGTTGTCGTTGTCGTTGTCGTAAACTTTTCACATTTTCGACTTCTTCTCAAGAACAGCTGGGCCAATTTCAATCAAACTTGGCACAAAGTATCCTTGGGTGAAGGGGATTCAAGTTTGTTCAAATGAAGGGCCACGCCCTTTTCCAAGGGGAGATAATTATGAATTAGAGAAAAATTAATGGCATTTTTAAAAAATCTTCTTCTCAAGAACCACTGGGCCAGGAAAGATGAAACTCATGTGAAATCATCCTCAGGTAGTGTAGATTCAAGTTTGTTCAAATCATGACCCCCGGGGCTAGGGTGGGGCCAAAATGGCCGACCCAAGTTTTACATAGGAATATATAGGAAAAATCTTTAAAAATCTTCTTCTCCAGAACCACTGGGCCAGGAAAGATGAAACTCATGTGGAATCATCCTCAGGTAGTGTAGATTCAAGTTTGTTCAAATCATGACCCCCGGGGCTAGGGTGGGGCCAAAATGGCCGACCCAAGTTTTACATAGGAATATATAGAAAAAATCTTTAAAAATCTTCTTCTCAAGAACCACTGGGCCAGGAAAGATGAAACTCATGTGGAATCATCCTCAGGTAGTGTAGATTCAAGTTTGTTCAAATCATGACCCCCTGGGCTAGGGTGGGGCCAAAATGGCCGACCAAAGTTTTACATAGGAATATATAGGAAAAATCTTTAAAATTCTTCTTATCAAGAACCACTGGGCCAGGAAAGATGGAACTCATGTGGAATCATCCTCAGGTAGTGTAGATTCAAGTTTGTTCAAATCATGACCCCCGGGGCTAGGGTGGGGCCAAAATGGCCGACCCAAGTTTTACATAGGAATATATAGGAAATATCTTTAAAAATCTTCTTCTCAAGAACACCTGGGCCAGGAAAGATGAAACTCATGTGGAATCATTCTCAGGTAATGTAGATTCAAGTTTGTTCAAATCATGACCCCCGGGGCTAGGGTGGGGCCAAAATGGCCGACCCAAGTTTTACATAGGAATATATAGGAAAAATCTTTAAAAATCTTCTTCTCAAGAACCACTGGGCCAGGAAAGATGGAACTCATGTGGAATCATCCTCAGGTAGTGTAGATTCAAGTTTGTTCAAATCATGACCCCCGGGGCTAGGGTGGGGCCAAAATGGCCGACCCAAGTTTTACATAGGAATATATAGGAAAAATCTTTAAAAATCTTCTCCAGAACCACTGGGCCAGGAAAGATGAAACTCATGTGGAATCATTCTCAGGTAATGTAGATTCAAGTTTGTTCAAATCATGACCCCCGGGGCTAGGGTGGGGCCAAAATGGCCGATCCAAGTTTTACATAGGAATATATAGGAAAAATCTTTAAAAATCTTCTTCTCCAGAACCACTGGGCCAGGAAAGATGGAACTCATGTGGAATCATCCTCAGGTAGTGTAGATTCAAGTTTGTTCAAATCATGACCCCCGGGGCTAGGGTGGGGCCAAAATGGCTGACCCAAGTTTTACATAGGGATATATAGGGAAATCTACTTTTCAAGTACTTCAAAGCTATGACTAGTGATATTTATATGGAATCATCCTCAGGAAGTGTAGATTCTAGTTTGTTCAAATGATGAATGCCTGGGGGGGGTTTAAATTCAAGCCAGATGTGCTCAGGTGAGCGCTGTGGCCCCTGGGCCTCTTGTAGTTTGTATTTTGGTTAGACTATATTTTGGTAGGGGGTAAATTATGTACATTGTACGTACATTATAGCAGTTTTCTGTAAGACTTGTAATAAATTTGTAAAGTCGGAATACCAATATTGACCTCATATAGAACAACACCTACATGTAGTATCGCGAGTACCTCACAGATATAAATTCTTACTACCGCTCTTTTGCAAGGGAGTAGAGAAGGCTCTAAATCTCACAATTTAGATTTCTGGGGTATAACAATGCTTACACTAGTGACAATCAATAAATATAATT